GCCCCCACATTGTTGTTTAAACAGAGAAGTGGATAATATCCAGAAGAGCCAAAAACAAGATTTCTGATTACTCTTGAAAGTAACAATTTAATCTACTTTTGGAAAATTTGTGTGGACAAGATATTTTGGTAAATTAAATGGTTTTGGTAAATTAAAGGGTTTTGGTTAATCACCCTACTGGATATACCTGACCCTCTACTGCCCACCGTTACAGGCTGAGGCTGGGGCTCCGTCCAGCGTGTGGGTGAACGTAGTGACTGCAGCCTCTGTGAACGACTGAACATCACAGATGATGAGGAGCCTCAGAGAGCTCGTTGGTTCACATGCTTCTCCATCACACAGCTTTTTCTTTCTCCTTTTCTATGTTAAAAAACATGCCCTTTGTGTAAATGCCATCATGTCCCTACTGTGCAGTTATTTTTGAGCGTAAGGCAAGTTTGCACGGTATCTTCTCACTCCTTACGGTAGAAACATCCTGAACATTTTAACTATATATGGTCACACATGAAAGCTTCTTTCCTGCACTGTGCATTCCTTTCATTTTATTAGAAAGTGCTAAAGGAATTTAAAAAGGATCGCTGAGCCCCCAGTGCCTCCTTAAGAATTACAGGAATAGAAAACGTCTGGTCTGTTGTGTCTGTTAGTCCCTGGCAGTTTCTCACTGCATTTGCTCTCAGACCACAGTTCCGAGAACAGCTCAGCTAGGTGTCATGGGATTGGAATTGGGCTTCCAAGGCCCCAAGCAAGTCAGAGGAGCAAACTGAGGGTCTCCAAATGAGTCGTGATCTCTGAGTGGGTGATGCCATCGTGTTCTCTCCACAAGCCTTTACAGATCCGTCATATTCGTAGCTCTCCCTGCCTCCTTCGTTCCATAATCACGATCCCCCAAACACAGACGAGTGTCCACATCCCACATTATGTGGACTCTCTGAAGCCACCATTACTTAGAACAACCCCGCAGCGCTCCGGGCTGTTGCAGTCGAGCCACCAGTTGCGAATAGGAGGTGCCGTGAAGGCTCACTCTCGCTTCTGCTGCTTCTGGCCTCACACGACACAAAACCTTTTATCCTTTCGTTGAGTATGAAAACGTCTCTGGCAGTTCCTTCCGAGTCACTCTGGGACGTGGAGCCCCGGGGGCTGTTTCACAGGCTTCCTCCCAGCCCTGTTCCTTTGGTCCACGCGAGAAGGGTCGCTGTAGGAAGGCTTCTCCCTGACGAGACTCATGTCTCCGCAGACGTGTGCAACGTGGATCACCAGAACAAGGCGGGCTACACCCCCATCATGCTGGCAGCCCTGGCCGCCGTGGAAGCCGAGAAGGACATGCGCGTCGTGGAAGAACTCTTCGGCAGCGGGGATGTGAACGCCAAAGCCAGCCAGGTAAGCGCACTTGCCGCCCGGGTCCGCGCCCGGCCTGCACCCTGAGCATGTGCCCCGCGTCCCCATGGCTGCCCGGCCGCCCTGGCTGACCAGACCTGCTGGTGACGTAGCAGCTTCACAGTCACCTGGCGGGCGTCCCCCTCCTTGGCCTCGCGCACTGCCTCTGTCCAGAGCGGGGTGCGCCTGCCCTGTAGGTAGCCCGCCTTGGAGGGCCCGGGAGTGCCCGCCGTCTGCCCGGCGGTGGCTCGTTCCCGTCTCCGCAGTGTAGTGTCGTCATGCCGGCCACACAGCGGCCCCGGGCTGGTTGGACTTCTAAGCACCTTTGACCTTCCCGGCTCCTCGCCCTAAGGGGACAGGTCCTCCCAGCGCCAGGGGAACACTGACGCATTACTTGATGATCTTATTTAGCTCGGCGGCGCTCAGAACAAGAAACTGTTTCTCCGTGCCGGCCACCACCCAGCCCCAGACTCGTTCCACGTCTGCTTTGTCCCCTCTGTCATCCCGCCGTCCCCCCACCTCGCACCCCTACCCCGGGCAGGCCGCCCCCGGCCGGTCTGTGCCGTGCCGCTGACGGGCCCTGCCACTCCTCCCCACAGGCGGGTCAGACGGCCCTCATGCTGGCCGTCAGCCATGGGCGGATCGACATGGTGAAGGGCCTGCTGGCCTGTGGGGCTGACGTCAACATCCAAGACGACGAGGGCTCCACGGCGCTCATGTGTGCCAGCGAGCACGGGCACGCGGAGATCGTCAAGCTGCTGCTGGCCCAGCCGGGCTGCAACGGCCACCTGGAGGACAACGTAAGTGAGCGACGCAGCCTCCGCGGGGCCTGCCCGCCGGGGGTCTGCCGGGCCCCTTGGCAGAGGGGAAAGGGCACGTTCTCCGCACTGCTCGCTGGGGACCTCGTGCTGTGGTCCGGGCCGCCGCCCTTCCTGGCCCAGCATGGCAGCGTTGCCTATGTGCAAGCTCACGCTCCCAGGAACTAAAGCCAAAGGCAGGCCGATGAGGCCTCAGCGCCCACGCTCATTGCAGGAGGAGGGCGATGAGCTCGTCGCAGAGCCAGCGCGGCCGTGGAAAGCACAGACTGACGCCCACAGCAGACTGAGCGCAGGCATCTTGCAGGTCCACGAAGAAGAGAGGACCGGGTCCCCGGAGCGTTGGGAAAGCTGGGTTGCTAGCTGTTCTGGGCCTGAACTACTAGATGACTAGAGCCAGCTGTCCCCACCCCCGAAATGAGGGCAAGTGGGCCCTCACTGGGGCCCCTCAGAGGGAATCACTCGTGTATCTCATCAGCCCGGCCCTCCAGACCATCCGACGCCTTCGAGCACATCTCCCTGCTCCTGCCTTGGCTATTCCATCATCGTAACCCTGATCTGCTCTCCCCCTTCCCAAGCTGTCCCTGTTGCAGATAACCCCTCGCCTGGGAAACATTGTAAGGGAAGCAGCTGCCTCTGCATGTCTCCAGGCCAGAGGGGAGGAATGCCAGTAGGTGAAGGCACAGGAACTAATATTTGGTTGGCGCTGTGGTTTAAAGTGCAAAGGTCACAGAGGACAGGTTGGGTTGGTTCTGCTTTGGAAAGTTTATCTCCGCAGAGCACGGGTTTGGCCCAGAGCTTCCTTCAGCTCAAAACACTAAAAAGTTAGAAGGAAAATGTACTTTTTGGGCACTAAGCGTCAGATCCCGGTGGGCCCAGGCCAGCAGGAAGAGCAAACCAGTGCAGGCGTTTACTCGCGCCCAGGACCAGGGGGTCGATGGTGGGCTTCCACGTGGCAGACGCCTCCCCGGGGGTGAAGAATCTGCACTTGTCCGCCATGCCCCTAACTTCGGCAGGAGCAGAAGGAGTGCTTCCAACTTACCCTTCCTCAAGAGCAGTGTATGTGGCCTGTGTCTTGATTTTTGTTTGTTTGCTTTTACTTCTGCTCTCTCTTAGCCAAGAATAGCCCGTAGATGTAGTCATAAGAGGCCCCAGAGCCACAAGCAGCTTCCAGAAATGCTGGTCACCTCAGGAAGGTGGGAGGAAGGAAGGAGGAGGGGAGAGGGAGGGCAAGTCCCTCCGAGAATTCCGAGTGGAAGGGAAGGACCCTAAGACGCCGACCACAAGAGAATTGTTTCCTGCTGCCAGTGACCAGAAGGGCATCCTTATTCCAAGACCAGACAAAAAGTAAATGGTGCTGGGTTTGGCCTTCTCCCTCCTTGACATGCATCCGAAGCCCTGCAAGTTCATGGAAGCCAAACACGTACCTGGAAACTTTGACTTCCCCATATTTAGTATTTCCCCTCGGATTTTCACACTATGCGTTTGTGCAAGGCAGCAGGATTCGGTGACTGTGCATGGATGGTGTTCGTAGCGGGCGATAGGGGCGCTTAGGGCCGGAGGATCGGCTCCCTCCCCAAGGGCAACGTTAAAAGATCGTTGGCAAGTGGCAGGGTATCCAAACACCCTGTGGTACTGCTTGCTCACCGTAAAGATAAGAAACACAGACGCTTAGGTTTCTACCCCACCTTCCTCTACGGCCCACAGCTGGTGCAAAGAGTAGTGGGGTGAGTCCATGGCGGGCAGCCTATGTTGAGGGTGCACGGGGCCTGCACCTCCACACTAACCACTGGGAGGCACAGTGGGGATGAGGTGACTGTCCTCCGACCGGGACTCCACTCCGGTGGGCGCGGCGCCTCATGGTAGCCTCAGGGCTTCGCCCTCAGAGGTCCAGAAAAGTCTCCCGAAGGACTGAACCGATTTGGGGAACCGTAACAGTTCTTGGAGAGTATTTGTTTTGCTCCCTTTCGGCTGTCTGGAAGTTTGAGAAACCCACCCTGGCTTGTTCTTTTCCATGTTCTCTTTAGGACGGCAGCACCGCACTCTCGATAGCCCTGGAGGCAGGACACAAGGACATCGCGGTTCTTCTGTACGCCCACGTCAACTTCGCCAAGGCCCAGTCTCCGGTCAGTGTTGTGCATTTGGCGTTTGTGAACAGGCTCAAGCCCACCAGACCTGTGGGCCCCCTTCTTCAGGGAGTTGACAGGAGACGCAGGTTTTCTGAGGCTTCTGAAACGGGGAGTGTTAGTCTGCAGCTTTAGGGTTCGTGACTTTTGCCCCCGCAGGCGGCCGGGAGAGCTGACCTCTGCTTGTCCTCAGGAGACAGACGTTCACATACATGAAGGGTTTAGTTCTGGGCAGAATTACCCAAATGGCACCTGGGGCGCCCATGAATACATACTGCTACGTCCCTGGCGTTTTTCCTAAGGCACACAGTGAGCAGCGACCTGTGGTCCACGAGTCTGCCCTTAGCAGGATGCTGACTTCCCAGGACGGTGCAGCAGACTGGGTCTGTATCCCGTGTCCCAGGGGTCCGTGCTCCGCGGACAGGTGGTCGTCGGCTGTGCTGGACGGAGTTCCTCGGTCACAGAGGACGCATCTGCCTGAGGTCACTTGTTAACCCCCCATTTTTTTCTCCTCTCCTGGTCTCTAGGGCACCCCTAGGCTTGGAAGGAAGACATCTCCTGGTCCCACCCACCGAAGTTCATTTGATTGATAGATGCAAATAGCCGTCCATTTACATGCCACCATTAAGCTGCTGCTTGTTCCTGTTGGGGTGACAGACACTGAATGTATTCGTATCGTGCCTGAGCTCACCAGCACGCAGACGGGAGGCCTGGCGCCTGGAGCTGCGTGGCGGAAGCCGAGCCAGCGGGAGCTGGCCGCCGGGCACATGCCGCCTCCCTCCTGGCTGTCTTCCCTCTGCGCTGGGCGTGCTTACCCCCGGCTCTGTGGCTGTCGAGTCTCTGCTCCGTTATGTACAGTCCTAGTCTCTCCCCACCTTGCCACTGCCGGGAAGCATCAGCTTCTCACTGGCTTGACATTTTTTAAAATGTTCCACAAGTATTTATATTGACTTAACGTGGAGCCATCGGAAAGCTCTCTGAAGATTCCATTCCAGGACGGTTTTGTTGATTTGTGTGTGTGTGTGTGTTTACTCTTCTCAAGTAAGGCAGTGGTGATGACTGGTCATCAGCACCTTGGGCCTGGGCCTGGAAGGTTTCTGGTTTAAAAATCAAAAACGGAACTCTCAAAAAGTAGAAAACTTAGGAAAGGAAGTCTTTTCAGTTGGGTTAATCTAGGTGGATGTATTATATGACTTTTTATATAAAAGGTATCTATATAAAATGGACACAGTATTTTCAACTTTTATATTCCATTGAGACAGGAGGAACTACGTGTAACGTTGCCATGTTTTTATTAATCATCGCCCAAGTCCGCATCCAATGGCAGAGGTTGGATCTCGTCAGAGGAGTTGGCAATATATTTGCCTCTAGGGAAACACAGTGTAGTTCTCCACGTATTTATGGATCCCTTTCTACCGTGTCACATTTACTTTGCTCTTATATGTATTTAAATGTTTGAAGTGCCTTAGACTCTTGCCATATTTTCAAAATAAAATTTCATTAAGCTCTTGTGCGTGTCCCCGCTCTGTCTCTGACAGCTGTCTGCCTGGCCCTGTTGACTTACGGCCCTGGAAGCTGGGCTGATGGACTGCACGGGCGGGGAGAGCCGGCCCGCTGGTCTTGCACTTGGCCGAGAGGAGAGCACGACTCTGTTCGCACAGCTCTGCCCGGTACTCAGGTTGCCCGTCAGGCATCGAAAATTTAAGACCTTATTAGGCAAGCAGCTCATCAGACAGGTAACCTCCAAGCGGAGGCAACGAATGAGCTCTTCTCAGGTGCAGGGCACTGGCCTCTGGCCCTCGTTTCGGGTGCACCTGCTGGGTGACAGCACCTGCCTTGCGGTCCCTTTTACAAAGTAAGGGGGACTGAGTCCACCTCGTTCAAATGAAGAAGCATGGCAGCCAAAATGCAAATGAGGTGTTTGCGCACGGTCACTGGTGGTGAATTTTAACCCGGGCTGTTTGCGAGAGCCAGGTGCACGGGAGAAATATCACGGAGGCTTTTCTCACACCTTTCTCTATTCCTCTTTCCTTCCTGTCGTCTGTTCATGCGCTGCTGAGCTCAAAAAAGAGACCAGAGGACAGATTTTTTTCCAGCAGGTGTGTATCACAGTACCTTTCCTAGAAGGCTTGTTTCACAGGCTGGGAGGAATGCGTCATTTAGAGAAGAACTCAGAGGAGCTGTAAAAAGCGGTGCTCGAAATTGAGGCCAACTTGGGGTGGTAAGAACTGTCCCCCCCCCACCCACCCACCCAGTCCCAGGCCCAGGCCCATGGCGGGACATCTGGGGCAGAAGGGCTGTCCTCTTCCTTGAACCATGAAAGCGAGGTCACAGCCACCTGGGGGCATGAGCACCTTTGTCTGTCCCAGGACAGATCTGCTAGCTCTGGGGTCAGGGCTCAATTTCAGTTCACGTAGTTTTTCAGGCTCCTTCAGACCTGAAGCACAATAAATTAAGGCAGAAGAGCTTTGTGTGTGAAGCAAAGTAGGTCTGTGAGTTTTCTGCCCCTCGATGGCATGGCATGCCTTTGGAGCAGGGAGGATCTCTCAGGTGGTTTGAGGTCCTGGGAGTTTTGTTCTGTTTGAAAAGGAAGGCATTCATGATGTCAGTGCATGAGAAAATGAATTCCTACACCTCTGTGCTCCATTTCAGATTTCTTGTGCTTAATTTTACAAAACCGAACAAGCGATTTTATCATGGAGTGAGGTCTTCTTCAGTCCGTACCGAGCTTCTGGGTTTGCCGGCGTAGGCCTTGTTTATGCTGCTAACACTGGGCACTTAGAAGGCGTTTTATCTTGGGATCTTGGCACATTATATAAACCAGCCTGATTCTCCCCCATTGGTTCAGCTGCTGCTTATTGAGGCGCGAGTCCATAAAGGGATTTGTGGCCGGACACTCGGGCAAGGCCCCCGAATGAGGCTGGCATGGGGCTGGAGACTCCTGATTTTGTTTTCTGGCTGACGTGAAGAGAAGCCTAAACCTTTAAGTGACAGGCAGCCTCTTTTTTCAGACAGCCTTGCCCTGGAAAACTAGAAGCCGAAGGCCAGTATCCTCCCCCAGACAGAAGGAATAGAGCAGTGGGAACTTTGAGACTTTAACGTTAAGAAAGTGAAACATGACTCATCCTGCCGCCGTTGTGACATTAAATAATGGACTAAACCCTGTGCGGGGGGTGGCGGGGGTTGAGGAGGGTGCCAGGAGCGTGCTGTCTAGACGAGTCCCCCTGATAAACCAAGTGTTGTGTGTAAGTTGCCCATACTCTAAGGGGAACAGTCTTACCCCCGACTTTTGTGGCCCTGAAATACTGCAGGTAACGGGCTAACCCTCGCAGATGGGATCCCGTCCTAATGGGTTCTTTGCTGCCGGGAGCCAGCTGCAAGCAGAGAGTTTGATTTTCATGATGCTTTTGTGGGAACTTCTGCCTTCACTGCATGTGTAAGAACTGATGGTGGGAGCTGGGGGGAAATGCCATTTGTGGGCCCCACCCTGAGGAGCAGCACCCCGGTGTTTCTCAGTGCGGCCTCTGGTCCATGCTGAGAATGGTTTTACTCCCAAATTATGGGGCACTACCATAGTTCTTTTCCAAACAAGTCAGGTGAGTTGGAGAGAGCCGGAACAAAACAAGAAACATGACGCCTAGTCTTTTATCTTGGGTGTACGAGGAGCCAACGTGGCCTCTGCGTGGTGTTTGTCCGTGTTTGGTGGCATTTCTGCAACTCTGGAGCAGTCCGTTCTAGAAGGCCAGGAGCCACGGCGGCTGTGGTCCGGGGGGGGGCGGGGGTGTATGTGAGGGACGGCGATTGAGCCAGCAGCTCTGCAGTGTTTTCCTAAGCCCATCTATCCCTTTCCCTCTTCCTGGAAAAGCAGGACCGTTTCTGCGCAGGAAGAAGGCCGTGACCCATTGCCTTGGCTTTGGAATAAAGACAGCATGCTGTTTTCTTTTCTACTGAAAGAAAATTCTTTTTAGGCCCTGGGCCTCAGCCAGAGATTGTTCTACGTTCTGCCATAAGGAAATTACCAATCATGTATTTGCTCTGTTGTTACTCAGCATGGCTGTGATTTAGAAGCCAGCCAGTCGTAAGAATATCTTTTCAGTCCATTTTGCTGAGGATGATTACCACAAAAGGATGTGGCTGAGCCAGTGGCCACCCTGTTCCAGGACCGCTCACACTCGCTCTCCCTCCCTCCCTGCCAAAGTCACTGGCTGTTTCCCGGGCCGGGAGCTGGGAAGTCACAATCAGCTCTTGGAGCGTGAAAGGTGGAATTCGCACTCGTCCCTGAGCTACCCTGCCTGAATGCCCGCAAGGATTTTGCCGAGAAGCTAGAAAGCAAAATGTCATGTTTTCTGGGCACATGCTGGTACAGATAGGTCGGATTTTGAGGACATTTTGGGGCGGAGCTGGTGTTTTAGAAAACCAGCTGCCCCATGCCTCTCCACGAAGATCTTTTGATGATTTAAGAGGCGTGGGGATGGGAACTATATGCCTCCTTTTCAGGTCATGGAAGTTGCATAAATAATCTGAAGACCAAATGCCCGTCTTATTTTTGAGCCAAAACAGGTTTTACACCTGTTTCCCACCCCCAACCCAGAAAGATCCAGTTTGCCCAGCACTGGAACCACCTGCAGGGGTGAGGCTGTGTGGCAGAGAGGGAGGGCCCTGAGCGCAGGCAGGAAGGGGCTGCTTTGCCACCAGACTGGTCGGGCGGCTCCACACCCAGGGACAGCCAGGTGGCCACTGATTTCTCACACGTTGGGCAGCAGAGAGATTCTGGCTCAGATCCACCTGCTCTGCAATGAAACTGATGTGCTCAAACAAACAGATAATAAAGATAACAGTCACTAATTAGATTGGGTCCCTCAATCCTACCTAGAAATATGCCACCACCACCCCGAAAAGCCAGTCTTCCGAAAGGACGAGAAGTTCAGGTGCCGGGCTGACCAATACTAGTTGAATGAATGAGGGTAAAAACATCCTTGGAGAGTGGCGTTGAAAGTCAGGAGAGTGTTACTACTAGGGAGCGGGGAGGTTCCTGGGAGGGAGCCTCCTAGGGGCTGGCGAGCCCCCCGGAATGGTTTGCTTCTTAGCCTGGAAGTAGCTACACTCTTATGTTCCCTTTATGATAATTCAACAGGCCATATACTCACAATTTGTGTACTTCTGTGTGTGCGTATGTTAATTTCAATTTTTTTTTTTAATTTAAAAAAATGTGAGGGCCCCTGGGTGGCTCAGTTGGTTAAATATCTGACTCTTGATTTCTGCTGGCGTGGTGATCTCAGGGTGCTGAGATCAAGCCCCAGGTTGGGCTTTGTGCTGAGCATGGAGCCTGCTTAAGAGTCTCTTTCCCTCTCCCTCTGCTTCTACCACCCCCTCACCCACTCACGCATGTGCACACTGTCTCAAAAAAAAAATTTTTTTTTAATTCGAAAAATTTGAATAAAAAAGATCTTAGGTGGGAGGGTGTCGGTTTTGTAGATTTGAAGGTGAACAGGAATAGGGGCGAATGGCTGGCTCAGTCGGTAGAGCATGAGACTCTCGATCTCAAGGTCATGGGTTTGAGCCCCACGTTGGGCATAGAGCTTATTTAAAAAAAAAAAAAAAGTGAGCAGGAATAAAACGATAGTGAACCTAAACCTGGAAACGCTGGGTCCCACCATTTCTTTAACATTGATACAGAGCTTTGCACACGATGGGTGTTGTGGTCCACCCATAACCTTGGGTAGTAATCATTTGGGCTGTTCTCAGATGTTCCGGTTCTTTTTCCGGGTACTCCCTGCCTACTTCTGAAGTCAGGCTTGGCTGTGTGATTTTGTTGGCAGCAGAACATTAGCGAGAAGTGACGTGTCCGTTGCAGGTGGGAGCTTGAAAAGCCAGTCTGCTGCTGTGTCCCCTTCTCCCATCTTGTTCGTGGAAACAAGTGTCCAGACGGACTTAGCGCCGCCGGGGACCCCTGGGGACTGCGTGGAGCAGAGTGTCCTCACCAACCTACATTCCAGGGCTGTCAGGAACACAGATTTACCATTACCCTGTCACGGGAGGGGAGTTTGCAGGTGATTTGTCAGCACGGCATGACTTAGGTTTTCTTTATTGATACAGAAATTGGTTTCGGGCTGTGGGTGCGGCTGGACCCGAGTGGCTTAGTAGGTGAGCTGTGGACGGCAGGGGCATGGGCTTAGTGGACTCAGTCAAGGACATGGGAAAGCGATGCATGCTTTTCAGTATCTTCCCGAGGCTGGTACGTGCCAGGAGCTAGCGACCTTGGTGCACAGGGGCGCAGGTAGCCTGTTATGTAGACGCCCTGGGGCAGCAAGGACTAGATCTCTGGGAAGGACAGCCATTTCCTGTGTCCCTGGGGAGGCTGATTGTATCTCATGAACGTGTCGGTCTCAAACCTGAGCACACATCAGAATCCCGAGGAGGGCTTGTGACAACCCAGACGAGTTTCTGATTCAGTGGGTCCAGGAAGAGGCCTGAGAATCAGCATTTTAAAAACAAGCTACAAACTCCCCA